AAAAAAAAAAAGTCAAAACGTTGTACATGACATCTGAAAGTATAGAAGTAGCAATTTTCAAATGATTAGAACTTGAGTTTCCCCAAGGGATAGAAAGTATGAATGCATGAGTAAAATAGGGGCAGTCATTACTGACTGATACAATGAAAAGTATCCTGTTGGTCTTTTCTCCTCAGCAATAGATGGAATGTCATCTGTACTAATCGGAAGGGTAGCTTATAGCTTTCAAGAGAGACCAAGAGTCACATAAACCTACATCATAGTAATGGATTGTAAATAACCTCCTTCCCTAACATGTTCTGGCTTGCTAGGATGGAGGACTTGAGAGAGAGAAAAGCGAAACAAACACTACCCTGCTCTTCTAAATTCCATGTCCTTCCTGCTGGACTCTAACAACTTCCTATTTCTGGTAAAAGAAAAAATTAACAGATGAGAAGTGGACTGTACCAGGTAAGTATGAAAAACTTAAGCTGAATTATCATGCGTATGACATGATGAATTAATAAACATATAATGACAGAAGGAACAATGGCTACTCTGTCCACAATACTAAATGTACCATTGTCCTATATTAGCTACTCTTCCTCAGTATCCATTTCAAAAGAAGACATTATGCTGAAGTATTAAATTGCCATCATTCCCAAAAAGCCCTTCTCACTGACCTAGAAACGTATTTTCCTTCCGTATCACAAACAAATCTGCATACTTATAAAGTACTTTCAAACATAAAACAATCGCCTTAAACATTCAGATCCTTGGAATTGGGCTAGAGCACCTTTTCATGCTTTGTACCTGTTTTATTGCTTTGGTCGAACAAGTCATCCTGAGTTGACAAAATCTCGGGCTCTGGTGTCTTCTGAAGCTGCAGCTCACCTTCCAGAAGCTCCCGAGCAGTTATCTGTTCTTTTGTTTCCACAGCAGCAAGAGATACTTTGGAATTAGAAGGCATGTCATCTGACCTAGGGAATTCATATCACCAAGGGGAAAAGGTGCCAAGTTTAAATGCCTTGATATTTTCATTAGAAGCCATTTCTTGCTTTGTGTGTTTCTCTCTCTAGTTCTGCTCACTACTGTGCCATAGGCTTTCCTAGCTTTCTGGTAAGGGATTTAGAGATGGTGCGGTGAAGTATGCATTGAACAAGGTTGATGACTTAAACTCGCTAGGCACTCTGTGAGAGAAAGATGAAGTTGTCAACCCCCGCGAGACTTTAGAGCCTCAGAAATGCTATAAAGGGTTGCTCTGAATCGGAACCTCCTAGAAGGTGGGCTTGGTTTGGGGATTTTATGCTTTTACTTAGACATATATGAAAGACCCTTATCCAGACCACAACAATGCCAATAAGAACAATCCTACAGTGTCCTTCCACTGTACTGGGATATGAATTATCATCTGCATTATGGCCACACACATTATCTTATGCTTTTTATGTGGCCTATGCCCCAAAGTAAGACCTCTTCACACCCAAGGCACTCCTACATGTGACAGTCATTGCTGTCCTCTCCCAGAGATTGAAGAGGCTCACCCATGCTACCACTTGAGAGTAGGAGGAAGCCAAACTGACTAAAATGTAAAAGCCCCAGAGAGTCATGTGGTTTTCCATTAGGAAGACAACATCTCTTAATATTCAACTTTTTTCAGAACTTTCTCACCACTTGCTCACCACTGAAGGAAACAGCAGAATACTGATTAACCATCCCTTCTCCCCAATTGGAAGCATCCCTCTTTTCCTCCCTCTGTCATATCCAAACACCAGCTGTTGGCCAGAGCAATACTGTTTTGGATACAATAATCACCACAGACTGAGCAGAGTTACACTTCCCAATTCCTACCAAACTGAGAACTTAACAGACTTAGGATAAGAATGCCTTCAGGCATTGGGCCACCACTCAAGTACTCCCTCAACGCAAGAATACTTTCTTCTATTAAATTGGCATTCTATGATGCTCACCTTCCCAACACAACCGCTGAA